ATGCCAAACCTTATCATTTCAGACTCACTCTTCATGCTGATGTGACTGTAGTGCTGGACAACACTGCATTGAATAATATTGCAGTTGATCGACTACATATTCAGAATCCATCATTTCAACACATAAATCAACTTGTGTCAACAATCATGTCAGCGAGCACAGCTACACTACGATATCCAGGATACATGAATAATGATTTGATTGGCTTGACTGCCTCCCTCATTCCTACACCCAGGTAAGAGTGACTTATGGTGTAATCATTTTAGGTACAAAGTGGTCCATTAGTTTGTTTCGTTGTAAAAAAACACGGTTTTTCCATCAACTATTCAACCAATTGATTTCAGATAATTTATAGATGATTCACTGGAATGCAATTACTTAATTTTGTTAGTCTCGTGGAAATGATATTTTACCCAAAATTTTGCTGCTCCATTTTTATGCATGGCAACATTTTTCGTGAAATATTGTAACATTTCGTTGGCAAAGTAAAAGTTTATTTTGACTTCACAACCAGCATAATAATAGACAATAAAATAATTGATAAAAACAAAATAAATAAAACTGATTATAGAATAGGGAGAGCAAGCAAAACCTCAAGTAAGGTTTAAAGCATACAGATTTTATATGGAAAGGTATTGATAAAAGAAGTAGTACGTTTTCGTTCACCCAAAAGTATATTGTTCCGTCACAATTGTTTGCCTTGCTAATTTCACTGATCTTTTCAGCAAGTTTGGTGCTCAGATAACCCTTATTTTCCTTGTACATATGCACGACTATTGTGTCCATGTATTATGAGCATTGCTCTATTGTTTTTGTAACTTTGCTCTTTCTTCTCATTTCCCCCCCTTTCCTATGTGGTATGATTTATCATTTGCAGTATGCCTTTGCAGGTTACACTTTCTGATGACTGGATACACGCCCCTTACAAGCGACCAATCCACGACATCTGTCCGTAAAACAACAGTTCTGGATGTCATGAGACGTCTTCTTCAACCCAAAAACATGATGGTATATGCTGGAAGAGAACGAGATCTACACCACTGTTATATTTCAATTCTAAACATTATTCAAGGTGAAATAGATCCAACACAAGTTCACAAAAGTCTTCAGAGGATAAGGGAGAGGAAACTTGCCACTTTCATTCCATGGGGGCCAGCTAGCATTCAAGTAAAGCAATCTGATTGAATTTTTCATCATTTTAATATATCATATCATTTGAGAGAACAAAAACTATTATCACTGTGGTGTTTTAAATCCGAAGGATTTCAATATCTTGCATGTACCATATTTTACGGACCATAAGGCGTGCTTTGAGTACTTTTGTCTCAAATATCGATTGTAAGCCGGTGCCTGCCTACACTCGAAACCAGTAATAGTACCGGTTGCATATTATAGCCTGGTGTGCCTTATGTATGAATAAAAACCCACTACTAACCAGGTGAGCCTTAGAGTCTGTAAAATATGGCATATGATTCACAAAAATTCTTATCCGAGTGATATATAACAACAAAAATGGAAGCATTTCAGCTACCAGTCATCGTTATTATCTTCAGATGTTTGAATTCTTGTATAAATTGCAGATTCTCTGGCTCATTTCTCAGGCAATCGTGATTCAAGCTATATAGAGCAAAATTCCCACTTCAAAATAATATTTTTCATACAATTGATTTGGTATTATACGTCAATGAATATTCTTTTGGAGCAGGATGATTCCGATATAACATTGCTGAACAATATACAATAATATTAGATCAATGCTCAAATATATGGACATGCCGTTTGTTGCTAGAAAACACAAATAAGAATCAGAGTTTCCTAAAACACATGTCAATGATTCACTGATTCACTGATAACTTGGAAGCCATTGTTGAAGACAAAAAACAATGCATTATGTAAACCTCAGACAGCAACAAACTTTTTGTCCTAACAAAAAAATGCGTACAAACCTCGAGTGAATATTGTGTTTTTCCAGGTTGCACTTTCTCGAAAATCACCCTATGTGTCATCTGCACATCGTGTTAGTGGATTAATGTTGGCAAATCATACGAGTATCAGCCAGTTATTCGCTCGTGCTGCAAGACAATTCGACAAACTTCGAAAAAGAGAAGCATTCTTGGAGCAATTTAGAAAGGTAAATCGTGTATAGATTTTAAACATTTTGAATTAACGAAAATTGTTGAGTATACTTGTAAAACTTGCTTCTTGAGCCTGACCACTTAGTGTTAAACTGTTGGATCTAACTATATTGGGGGCACAGGAACATTAAAATCAGTCAGCAAATCCAGGACTGGTAAGATTGCGGCGTTGGTCCTTTGAAAACAATATCCATATATATCGGTGGTTGCTTATTCAGATCTTATTTAAAGAAAATGTATAGATTGCCTGTAAATCACAAGATGCAGACATAGGCAGAACAATTCATTATATTATTTATCTCCAACTTGTGATATTGGCATAGGAAAAGTAGGGACCTACGGTACATTCTAGTATTTCATTTAAATCATTTTCTTTTTAGGAAGAAATGTTTAAAGACAATCTAGATGAATTAGACAATTCTAGAGAAGTAGTTCAACAATTAGTGGAAGAATACGAAGCTGCGGCTACTCCAGAATATTTGACATGGGGAGATAAACAAGAAAAAGAGAAATAGAAGGAAATGAATTTGAAGAGTTTTGAGAATGTCGCACATGAAGAAACGCAATGGAAGAAGTTGTTGGATGCTTTGATCTCTTTTGCAAAGTGTTTATATTCTAGTAGTTCATGTAGTGCAGTTAGGAACTGGGAAAGACTTATTTGAATAACAGCATTCAACCCAAAGTCAAAAGCAGGATTCCTGCTAATTATAAACTACATTTGAAGCCAGAGAATTTCGGGAATATGTTAAAATGTTGAATTTGTTGCTCGTGAGCTAAATAGTTTTCACTAGCACTATCCTACTGACATTAAAAGATGATCTTTTAAGTTAATGTGTTCAGGGTTGACAATTATTCTTTTGTTGGCAAAACTGTGCCGATTTTAATGTTTTTTTGCAGTACATTTCGACTGAAGAGGACCGTGTTAAGCAAGATTGACTTCCACCAACTATGTGATGTTCTGTGGCTGGTAAAAAATTTTCCAGATTGTGTGCTTTTGGTTCGGTTTGCTCAAGTGCTTTTCTGCATGATACAATTATATTTCAATTCACTTGCCTTTCGTAGATTTGTATATTTTTAGTAAAATTTCAAAATCCCTGTTGCTCTTGTTGTGGTATGGCAGTTCAGTGAGTGATTTGGGTTCAAACTTCTTGGATGTGGAAAATCACTATTCGTAGGTCCTGAACCTGAGGTTGTTATGTCCGGATAACTAAGGATTTAGCTGTAGTATGAAGGACTATAACTTGAGGGGATTTATCAAAGCTCAGCTTGGGATTGAGTGCTTATTTTGTCGTTGGGAGAACGATATCTGCAACAACCAAGTGGTAAAGGCATCTTGACTGGTACAAAAGAAGGGTCGAGAAAAAGAAGAGCACATTTTTGTTTAGTTTTGCCAATGAGCATATATACATTGGTTTTGCGGCCTCTTGAAAGACTTGTTTGTTTTGAAAATTTTGCATTTGGGGACTTGGAAAAGTACAGACCAGGCTATTGGGGAGAAAATGCTCGAGAGATAGTTTAATTTAACTGCTGTGAGAAACTTATATAGACGCGTATCAAACGATCTTTTGCAGAGACTGAGTGTGATGACACACGCCCACGGTCCTCGTTTTGTTGTAAACATAGCATGCATATACATATTGGGCGAGTCTATTATCACAGCAGTGCATTGAAGTTGCTTGACAGCTCCGGGGCTATAGGAAAAGCGGCATTCAACGGCGGCGCATCGCGTGGCAAAGCGGTAACGATTTGTGGAATAACTGAATAATGTTAGCTGTGTGAGTGTGACTACAGTATGAGCTTTACAACAACTCTGTGGTCGTATTACTGTATTATGCAGTTTTGCAGAGGGAGTGCGATAGTTCAGCCATAAGTCGTTCCTAGCCTATCTATATGTAGTCTAACTCCTATATGTATACCGTACCACCCTTTCCTGTATACTGCACATATCCAGATATCTGACAGCCTGAAGACAGGAAGATTCAGTTTCGTTTTTATTAAGCAGAGTTGTATTTTCATACTTCTGAACTTGTTGGGACCATACTGGTACAGTCAGACAGTTTTAAATTTCAGACATTCATTGATAAAAGATAAATGAGTAAAAGACCTAAAAAGTAACCATAGGAACTACAAAATTCACTAATTTAGGACTAGCCAGTTAGCTAGTTAGTCAGACCAAAAGAAGGCCTGCATATGCTGAAGACTTTACCAACATTTGATTTTCATGGAGTTTGGTGTCGATATTTAACTTTTTATTTAACTTACTTACTTAACTTTATTACTGTTCACTCCCATTTGTAAAATCTATCAATTCGGCAGTGGCAAACGTTATAAATTTATTAATATGGTGTGGCAAGTAATTTCTATTTATTTATTTATTTTCAACTACCCTTATGTAATTTATAACTCCAGTGTGGTTGGGTGCGTGTGAGCGTGTGTAAAATATTTCTATCATTTTAGGTGAGTGAACACGTACCACTTCTTCTTGGCAAAACCTTCCACCTTGTATACATTCTGTACGTCTTAAACCTTATCTAAGGTTTTGTTTGCTCTCCTGATTTCATAATCAGTTTTTATTTATTTTTTTACCAATCATTTTATTGTTATGCTGATTATGGAGTCGAAATAAACTTATACTTATAAATTTGAAGTCAAAGCCGATTTTTTTGAGTTGGAGTTGTAAATATCTGTAGGCCTATAAGCCTATCTCATTTGGTTTGAAGAAGGTGAACTACCCGGTACTGAACTACAGATACTATCAAATAACACTGCAGCAAGCCTATGATTACCTATTGGATCGAATGGAAACTATGAATTAAAGTTGGAATTTTATGGAAAGAGATAATGTCATTCTTGTTTTTTATTTGACCACAGATTTTCCTTAGACCCTACATACTGACATACCAATCATTAACATGGTTAGACGCAATGTAGTTTTTCTTTGCGGCATAGCTTTCTTTTTTGGAAGTCTCGTTGTAATGTTGAAACAGTTGGACAGACAACAAGGCCAGGAAATAGTTGCACGAGATGATCAGGAATCATTATCGGAATTGAATGCTAGATTCATTAACTTGGAAAACGAATTGAAGGAAAACAAAAGAACAATGGTTAAGGTAATTACACGTTTTTTAGGGCTATTTTCTCAAATCAAAGTAATGCGCACTTGCTCAGAATAAAGAATTTTGATATCTGAGCTAAGTTATGAACGAACACTGAAGTTCTCCTATTGCGTGATATTCTTATGCAAATAATATTTATAAATATATACCGGTAGATGTTTTGGTCCTATCAAAGTAATCGTTTTGCTCAGCCTGAAGTATTTGGCTTGGGTTCAGTAGATATTCCTAAAGTTCGACCCTTCAAAATGGTTGTCTCTTATTTTATGATTTCTCCAAACAAGGCTCAGAACAGCATTCATTCTAATAGACCTGATACATTAAATCTTTTTGTGATTTTAGAAGTGTTTTTAGGAATTTTAAAATGCATTTCCTCGATTTTATATTCTTGTTATCCAGCTGCAAAGTGGACTGGATGATTTGGTTGAGTTATCACGAGTAGCCAATGCAAAAGTACCCAATCGCAAAGAGCTGGTGGAAAATATTTTACAAAAAGAAGATGGGAAAAAAAATCCTTCCTTACATTTTCCTGGGTATGTGTTTTACTGCTTTAAAAATATGTTTTTTTATTCTGATTTTTAATGTTTGTTAACATAACTGCTTCTTAGACATATAATTTCTTGATTCTTTTTTCATATGCACAATCTTGGAAGCTTGTCATGAACGAGGCTTGAATTCAAGTTGCCCATATTATAATATGACTGAAAAATAGCTTTATAGAAATAGTTCTTTAATATATTTTATTATGATCATTTGCTTCAGCTTTAGGAGCTAAGTTGTCGTCATAAAAATCAGTCCTCTGTCTATATAAAAGATAAGCATTTTTAATATCTACTAGATAGGCCTAATAATCATGAACGCGATAGCCTGGCGGTTTAAGATATTTAGACTTAACGGTGTCGGCATCGAATGCTATACGTATCAGGTTCAAATCCACTATCTGCCTTTTCACCCAGAGTGTATTAAACTAGGTAGGTAATACTAAACTGAAAAGAATTGGTACCTTCATATACATTGTTAATGCCTCCCGAAAATATTAGCTCCTCAGTCATCATTGAATGTCAGGTACTCCCGAAGTATGTGGACCAAGATGGCAGACACCAGAATGTAGTATGTGTACCAGGTTAGGGTAAGGCCAAAATTTTAGGTAAAAATACTACAGGAGTCACTTGGCTGGTCCCCGAACTTGTAATTAAACTAAAATAGGGAAATTGAAATAAAGTTATGGACTAACCCTAACCTGGTACACATACTGGGTTCCGGTGTCCGCCATCTTAGTTTACATACTTCGGGAGTACCGAATATCCGTAGTTGCTTGTACAGTGTCTTGTTCGAGGCGAAGGGTATGAATGAACAGCATATAACAGAAAGAGACTCTTTCTTTTTTAATACTCCTAAAAATTAATGACAATATTATTCAAATGTTTTTAGTGTTGGATTCAATTTCTCGTCAGAGCAGTTTCCTGCTTGTCAAGACTTGAATTTACTTTGGTGCAAATTGTGAATTGAATGAACGATGAGTATGGTGGATTTAACTGGAAGGATGTTAATGGTGGAGTCTGGAACAAGGTTTTGAACATTCAAACTAATGATGCTGAATGGGAAGGAAAGAAATTTAAAAGTAGATGTTCAGTGACTTTAAAATCATGCGTTTGTTAATTAATTTCCAAAAATTAAGAATACGGTATCCGCTGATTTTTATTGCTACCTCGCAGAAGTGATGCAAGGTGTGCAAGTCATCCAACGGTTAATTAGTCCTAAATATATTGTCAAGTGGTTACTTATTCTTTCATCCTGTCATTTATTATTTGTAATTTTATATCAAAAATTTGAAAATGTTCGGTTGTTCATGTTTATGACATTTTCAAGCCTTGTTTCTCTTTCAGTACATCTAGTCCCTCAATCTCATAATGATCCTGGATGGCTGAAAACATATGAAGATTATTTTCGTAGCGAAACGAGACATATTCTGGATAATATTGTTGATTATTTGGGCTTGGATAAAAGAAGGTATGATTGTTTCAAATTTTGCCAATAGATTCTTCGATTGTCAGCAACTTGATCTAATGCGATTATTAAATTTTTAAGTTTTGTAACACTGTAAGAATTAGTTGTATGTATATGTTTCTTAGGAATCAATTTTGTTCAACAAGAACTATGTTAGACTATGCATGCTTATATATATTAAATCCATGAGCGCATGGTACCTAGGTTTTGGTACCTTATTTCTCGCAAGCCTATGTCACCTGCTATGCCACTCTAAGTTTAGTTGATTTATTTATTGTAGAACACTTTTTTTTCCAAATGATTTCCATGTCCATCTATTTGAGCATTGCTCTGTTATTTCACTCTTATTGTTTCGTGAACATGATCTTATTTTCAAATGTTTAAATATATTCTAGACGATTTATCTGGGCCGAAATGTCGTATCTTTCAATGTGGTACGATATTGCGGATGATGGCCGAAAACAAAAATTAAAAGAATTGATAAAGAGCGGACAATTGGAAATTGTCACAGGAGGATGGGTTATGAATGACGAAGCTAATACTCATTATTTTGCGATGATTGATCAAATGATAGAAGGTATTTTGGTTTTTTATGTATTTCAGTCATTCAAAACCTTTTGCATTAGTATTTTCTTTTTCGTTAACGGTAAATCTGTTACCCTGTTTTTTTTTTATTGACCGTTAAAGAGGTTGGATTTTGTATGGAATGCTGTGCAGGCTACATGAATATAAGAAGGCTAAAGCATAAGCCACTGAGCCATTGTACTTATTGGTAAAGCCAGGTTAAAGTGAATAATTTACTATTCCCAATAGGCTACATTCTGTAATTTTTTTGAGTAAGGAATTCTACATTTTATTATTTTCAACAGATAAGCTTTCTAAAATAATTGTTAATTCATAGAAATTTAATTTTGTAATGCAGGATAGTTTTGATTGATTTTCTATTTTTCATAGTGGCATAATGTAGAATGAAGTCTATTTGGCTGGCCATCAGATGTCAAATGCGACAAAGTTCAAATGAAAATATTTTAAATTATTTTCAAGAACATCAAGAATTCTTTATATGGAATAGAACCAATTTTAAGTGATTGAAATAATATACACAAGGAAGTCAATTTCTTGCCTGGCCATCAGATGTCAAATGATTAAAAAAACAAGTTTTAGAATAAAAAGTTTTTGAAATCAAGAATTTAATATACGAAATATATAACCAATTTTAAAAGTATCTAAATGATATGTCTTCTTCTTCTGACCATCAGATATTACGGGCTCGAAGCGACAAATTTTTTGATTGAGCTGTTTTGTGCATTGTGCTTAATCATAACATGGCTGAATGCCAGATTTGATCATCTTATATTAAGTGAAATTGGATTGATATTTTATTACACAATATTCGAGAACCATTGGGTTGCAGTATTGAATTTGATTCTAATCACCAATTAAGTTAAATTTCAAGAATTTCTCTTTATTAGTGTTTCAATAAAAAGTCTATTTAATTCGAAGATTGTACCTACAATTCCAATAATGAAGTTTATTTTCAATTTCTTTTGTAAATTTGATCCTTGTTCATAATGACTTTTGCTGCGACTTATCCAACAAGTAAGTAATGGAAAGTATAATTTAGATCTCTAATTTCAATTATATTCTAAGGATCTATTATCATTCTAACGGTAGATATTGAAATTGAACTCATAAATTATTCAAACTTTTAATTTAATCCACTTTTCATAGTATGATTAATTTTGCTACTTTTTAGATCTTATTGCTTTTACATTTGGGACTTGATGGCCCAGAAAATCCTAGGATTAATATGAACCAAAATACCAGTTTTATAACAAAGCTTCACAAGTGTGGGTTATTTTTAAATGGATTTGTACAATTCCATCAAGTACTTTTTATTCTAGATTTTGAGTTTATGTATTTGGTTAATAATAGAGTTCTAATTTACTGCAATTCATAAGGTTTTAGTATTCTGATAAGATTTCGATAAAAACAAGGGCGAATATCACTTCAAATAACTGGATTAAATAAATTTTGTAGAGGAATATAAAGGGGGACCCCAAAAAACAGAATCCAATCAGAAAGAGAAATCTTCTTGATACTTCTATGACGAAGATACTTTATTAAAACTCCCTAATAACTTCTGTTTGTGTATGATTGTACCCAAAAGTTTCAGAAATCTGGAATGCTTTGCACAAAAGTTGTGTTCTCTCAAGATTGTGTAGAATGTTTTTTAACTGACCTGGTTCCCGTTTATTGAGTAACCCTGTGTTTGATTTTAGACTTCATTTAAAATTTTAGGAGAAATTTTCAATTATAAAATGGTTCAATTTATTCATCTCATGAATAATAATTTTGTTGATTAATTAAGTCCACCATTGATGACTCCATCCTCATTAATATTCATGAAAATATTTTTTCTAATTAATATTTATTTTTGAAATTTGTTAAAACTACTGTTTTTCATTTCACCTAATTATTCTAATAAATTATTTAATGATTAAAAATTAATTATTCATGATTGATTCTGCTTCATTTCACACTTCAATGATTCATCAACTTTATTTTTTTACTTGGCCCATTGGAATTTTTTTTATATGTATATTGTATAGAAAAGGTATTCAAATTTCAAAGATTTGCTATATGAATTCTAAGGAAGCCTGCATTATTAAGATTAGATTACTGAATATGTACTAAATCTAATTCATTTTCACTTTCCTGTCTGCCACAGCCAATAATATTAGGTAATTTGGGTTCTAGAGATCCCAAAGTTGACGAAGAGTATATGTATACTTTATCCCATACAATATCTTTTTCAAAAAAACCACACAGACTACACAACTAGATCCAAAACAAATGGAGTACTGTATATTACGGATCATAAGGCGCACGCACCTTTAATAAATTGTTTAGATTGGGGTTTTGTCCATACATACATTTACAACATTTAATTAAAGTCACTCACAGTCACCAGAAAGGCTTTCATTAATTCTTGAAAACAGTAAATAATAGAAAATCAATCCAATCACAATATGTTTGCCATTTTTCTGCATTTAGAAATTCGAACTCATTCAATATACATTGTCTTCTATTTGTTTTTTTGTAAATTTAGTGGATTATTGGGTTTTGGTCATCCCTACAAATACGAAGTTTTTGCATTTTCAAAAGGTTTTTCGTTTGAAGTTGATTTAACCATGTCTATTAAAACCTGTTCGTTAAATATCTTGCTAGTGTCTGTTAATTAGGAATCTAAGACAATGAATTGTAAGCAGAGTAAAAAGATCTCCTCTAACGTATTCAAATCTACGAGCGATCTAAGGAATCAGCACAGGCAGATTCGAGCCTGATTTGATCAAGCTTTTGTACGCATGCGGCAGGCTACATCGTCCCATCAATCATTGTGCCACTTGATAGTTAAGATAGTTGTTTGCTAGTTTTTAATCATATTGAAAGTAATTGCATACCCCTGCACAGGAGTGATTTTGGCTACCTCAACACCTCTGGAGCTATGCTATTCCTTGTTATT